TGGGTTGGGAGCTTGGAAAAGGTCATATCAATGTTAGGGACAAATTTGAGGGGGGATAGTTAGGGGTCTTTAAGGGAACCTGATGAACCCATTGTACATTCTCACCTGTCCCTTCTTTCTGGTCTTTGTGTCTGGGATGAAAGGAGATCCCCAGGTTCTGGGCCTTGTTGGCAGGAGCAGTGCACTGGCAGACAGTGTAGGGGGAGTACAGAAAGGCAGAGCCCCTCTTTAGAGAGCTCCCCTTCTGACAGGGACGGCCCTTCTTCCTCCCAGGGGAGTACTAGAGAACAGGACGCATTACAGTTTTAAATACTGATCCTGCAGGACACACTTTAAGAAGAGAGATCAGCGTGGGCTGCATCAGTCCAGGACAGCTTTTCAGAAGAGTTGCACTGGGGCCAGACCAGGGCAGGGCTTCCAGGGTCGTGTAGAGGGCTTTGGTCTGTTCCCAAAGCAGTAGGAGGTCATGGGAAGATTTGAAGCGGGAGGGACACAATCAGATTTACAGTTTTAGAAAGAAGATTGCTCTGGTAGAGCTCCTTGGAAAGTGATCGCCGGCAGGGAAAATACAAGATAAGCCTGGAACATCTTATGGTGCCAGAAAGTTAGCAAATGTTAAAAAAAAAAAAAGCTTTTAAAATAGAGGCATGTTGAAAGGACACAGGAGCCAACCTGAAAGAATTCTCAGTGGCCAAAGCTGGAATGTAAGCAACGAAATAAGTGATGATAATATTGGATTATAATACAAAGAATGAAATAAATATCCTTGAGTCCATACTGATATAAATATGTAATTAAGTAAATAAATGGGAGTGAAGGCACAGCTCTTCCTTACAGAAAACTTCCGATTAATAAATATACCAGGAACGAGGGAAATCGAAAATTATCATTAGAACACTGTAGTAATTGCTGGAAGCAAGATCCACTGATGAATCCTAAAGTTGGGTGAAAATTCAAGCAGAAACAGGATATTTGCATGGTCACAAAGTATTGCCTCCCAAAATATTTATTAATTACAAATGGAAAAATAGTAAATTTACAGGGGAGAAATCCACTAGTAGACACCACCTAACCAAGTGATCAAGGATAGCATCGCCAGTAATAAGGCATCTCAACATCATGGATACCCCTGAAATAATGCATTGAGAAGGGCATAGCACCTCTGATATTCTTTCCAAACATCCATAACTTCAATCTAATTGGAGAAAACTTCAAACAAACCCAAATTAGGGAACATCCTCCAAAATACTGAACAGTTCCTTCCAAAGTGTCAAGGTCATAAAAGACAAAGACTGAGGAACTGTTGTGAATCGTAGGAGACTAAGGAGACATGATGATTAAGTACCATGTGGGATCCTGGATGGGATCTTGGACCAGAACATCAGTGGAAAGGACATGGTTGGAAAAACTGATTAAGATCTGAATAGTCTATGGTTTCATTTTTAAAAATTGTTCTGCTAAAAAAGATGTAGAACAGTGAAAAGAACATGCTGCTATATCTGTTTTCTTAAAAAGCATATGCACACACACAGATAATGCACACACAGAAGTAGAGGTAGAAGGTGGCTGGGGGAGAAGAGGAGCATACTAGACAAGGGAAAAGTTGTCCAGGAGGAACTGGTCACCATCAGGAAAGTGAAAAGACAACCCACAGAATGGGAGAAGATATTTTGAAGTCATATATCTGATAAAGGACTTGTATTCAGAATATATATAGAATCCTTACAACTTGATCATAAAAAGACATAACCCAATTAAAAAATGGACAAAGGATCTGAATAGACATTTCTCCAGGAAAGATATATAAATGGCCAGTAAGCACATGAAAAGATGCTCAACATCATTAAGCAGGGAAATATAAATCAAAACCATGAGATATCACTTCACATTTACTAGGGTGACTAGAATCGGAAAATCAGACAGTAAGAAGTGGTAAGGATTTGGAGAAATTGGAACCCTTATTCACTATTGATGGGACTATAAAATGATGTATTCATTTTGGAAAACAGTTTGACAATCCCTCAAAAAGTTAGTTACCATATGACCCAGCACTTCCATTCCTAGGTATATACCCAAGAGAAATGAAAACATACATGCCACAAGAACTTGTACACAAATGTTCATAGCAGCATTATTCATAATAGCCAAAAAGTGGAAACATCCCAAACGTCCATCAACGAATGAATGGATAAACAAATTGTGGCATATCCATTCTATGGGATATTATTCAGCCATAAAAAGGAATGTAGTACTGACACCTGTGAACCTTGAAAACATTATGCAAAGTGAAAGGAGCCAGTCACAAAAGACCACCTATTATATGATTCCATTCATATGAAATGTCCAGAATAGGGAAATCTATAGAGATGGAAAATAGATCAGCGGTTGCCTAGGGTTGGGAATGACGAAGTGCTAACTAAAGAATAATAAAAATGTTCTAAAATTAACTGAGGACATGCTTGCACATATCTGTGAATCTACTACAACCCACTGAATTGTACACTTTAAATGGTGAGTTGTGTGGGATGTGAACTATATCTCAAAGCTTAATTTTAAAGTCCAGGAGGAAGTGGCCAACAGAGGCAGTTGTGCCTGAGAAGGCAAGGGGGACTGAAAAATCTTGTTTGGATTTAGCATTGTGGCAGTTACTGCTGACGTCGGACCAGGCTGAGGAAGGAGTGAGAAGTGAGGATGACTTTTTTTTGAGAAGTTTGGCTGTGAAAGGCGGAAGAGGACAGTATCTGAAGAAATGTCAGGGGAAAATTATTTTAAGATGAAAGACACCTGAGAAGTTGTAAAGGCAGGTGAGAAAGATCCCTTCAGGAGGTAGATACTGAAGAATAAATGGGGAGGGACTGGGGCGAGAAGGACTGGCCTTGCCTGGGAAGAGGGCGGCCCCTCTGCTAGGACTGGAGGAGATGAGCGTGTACAGGGGATTCCTGTGGGGCTGGGAGTATGGTGGCAGGAGATTTGAGGGGATTTTCCCTCTGCTGGCTTTCATCCTCAGGAAACAAGAGGGGAGGTGATAGGCCAGAAGTTTGAGGAGAGTGGAGAGGGTGTGAAGTAGTGATTGCAGAGAAGGAGACCGCCTAACAGTTGGCCTTGGTAGGGGTGCCAGGCAGGACTGACGATCTGGCTGAGGTGGCTTTCCTTTGGTGAGGAAAGAGTGAGAAATAGTGTGAGCAAAAGCCTGGGGACAGGAGTGAGTGTCGAGTCCTGTCCTCTCCTACCCCCAGCCTCTAGACAATGTGGAAAGAAGCATTGACCTAGAATGTTCAAGGGAAGGAATCCCAGGCATCTTCTAGAACTGTGCTGTCTAGTACAGTGGCCACTGGCTGCATGTGGCTATTTAAATTTAAAATTCAGTTCCTCGGTTGGACGAGCCACATTTCAAGTGCTCAGTAGCCACGCGTGGCTAGTGGCTACAATATTAGACAGCACAAAATAAACATTTTCATCATTACAGAAAGTTCTGCTGGGCAGCACTGTTCTAGAATAGTGATTCTCAAACTGTCTGGCCTGAGGACCCCTCTATGCTCTTAAAAATTGAGGACCCCAAAGAGCTTTGGTTTATATGGGTATTGACATTTACTGTCATATAAATTAGAACCGAGAGTTTTAAACATTTAATTAGTTCATTTAAAAATAATAATATATCCATTACATGTTAATGTATTTTATGAAAAATAATTATGTATTTTCCAAAACAAAAAAAAAATAGTGAAAAGAATGGCCTTCTCCTTCCTTTTTGCAAATCTGTCCTGTCTGACTTAATGAGAGCAGCTGGGTTCTCGTATGTGCTTCTGTATTCATTCGGTGTGATACCACATGTCACATAGTCTCTGGAAAATGCCGCTATATACTCATGACAGAACGAGAGTTAAAAAGGCAAATAATGTCTCAGTAGTGTTAGGAAAATAGTTTTGACCCCGTGGACTCCTTGCAAGGCCTCAGGGTCCCTGGACCACACTTTGAGAATCACTGTTCCAGGACAGCCTCCACTTGGCGTGAAGGAACTTGTCCCTGAGAGACTGAGTGATTTGCCTGAAGTCACACAGCAGGTAAATTACAGTGTTGGGACTAGACTCTAAATCTTGTGCCTTCTGGTCTGAGGCTTTTTCCAGTACCCTTGGCTGCAGAGCCCCTGGCGTGTGGCCCTATAAATAAACCCATTGTGTTTGTGTCAGAGCCCCTGGCCTATACAAGCTAGCAGCTGCTTTTTTTGTTGTTGGGTTATGCTGTGGACAGGGCACGTGAAGGATCCGAGAGGAGAGATAAGGGTGTTGAAATCTATAAGCCTTTGGCAGAAGACTGATGCTACTGTCTGTTTGAAAGAACCCACACCATGCTGTGGAGTTCCTGGAGTGCCTGTGCAGAGGAAGTTGGAGGGGGGGATGCAGTGGGCCCCTTCCCCATGGACATGTGCCTCTCAGAAGGGCTATTGTGTCTTGGGGCCAGTTGTCAGGAGGAGGGAAGGAAATTCTCGTCTGCCCTCTTTCCCCAAGGGGGAAGGAGACCAGTTAGAATTTTTAGGACTAAAAGATGCTTTTGGCCAGGGATTGAGGTGGCCACTTTCAGGCCAGGAATGGCCTGAGGCCTCTGTCCTTATATCCCTCCCCACACCCCGTGGCAGCCCAGGGCTGATCTTGTCTAGAAAGGAGTGTTTGCCGTGGGTGCAGAAGTTGCTGTTTACAAGTGGACTCTTGGGTGTGACAGGGATTCCAGAAAACAGCTGGGAGGTCGGGGGGAGCCAAGGGGGAAACGGTTGGTGTTACGGATGATTCTGTTATTAAAGTGAGCTTTTCCATCTCTGCCTTCCCACAGCTGCCCAGCCCTCCCCCACCTCCTGGTCCCTGGCTTCTCTCCCTAGAGGACTCTAGGGGGAACAGCTGGTGAGTGAGGGGCTCATGAGGGCCAGAAGGCCTTGGCTAAGGGCCTGGGTAAGGGAGCATGGAGGACAGGCTTGCTGCCACCTCTCTGGCCCCTTCTTGCCAGGTCTGGACTCCCAGTTCAGGGAGGGGTCTTGCCTGTGCCCTGGCTAGGGAGGGGGTAGGAGCTGTAGCCCCTACTCCTTTGATCTGGCTGACAGAAAGGCCAGGACAGTCAGATCTCGTGGAGCCTAGGTGACTGACTGGGCTGAAGAGATAGTGGTCACCTGGATTCACTCAGTGGTTGGGCTGAACCAGCCATGTCCCCAGGTTACCCAGAGACCCCTGAGCAGCTGTTCCCCCTTCCCTGTCCCTGGCCACTCACAGACTGCCCTCCACCCCCTCTGAAGGAGGGCCAGAGAGACTCTGCTCTTCCTCCCTTCCCCTCCCTCCCTCCTCTCGGCACTGAGGTCACCTCCCTCTGAATCAGGCTTTTGTGAGGGGCGGGGCTGCCCGTTGGCAGTTCTGGCGGGAGAAGCCACCAGTTCAAGTTAGAGCTCCCACCCTCTGCAGCTCCATCTCTACCCAGCCTGGCCGGCATCCTGCCTTCTAGACCCAGCATCCAACATCCGGGACCACTGGAGGAATGTTTGAAACCAGGGCCATCCTGAAAACCCCAGGCCAGGGGTTTTCCCGGGCCCCAGGTGGGCCTGAGCACAGAAGCTGTGAGTAGGAGTTGTGGGGCCCAAGGGAGGAGGAGGGTGCTCGGCCTCTGGGGAGAGTGGCCCCACTGACACCCAGCAGGGACAGCCACTAGGGAACTGACCTGGGTGGTTTTTTTCTCATGAGATTTAGGCGGAAAACTCAGACTCTGAGGGACCAAATTCCTAATGAGGCTCAGACTGGGAGCTGAAGGTGTTGGTGTCTCTCTGAATCTTAATATTCCATAAAGATGCAGGCAGTTTTCTCTTTTACCACAGAAATCTTGAACTCAAACTGTGTCCTGCTCACAGCGTGCTCCTCCCCAGTGCCAAGTTTAAATGCAGGCTTCTTCAACAGTCCAGGCTGACAGCTTCCTGTCCTCTGCTTGTGGCCCTGCAGACACAGAGAAGGCCCCTTGTCCTGAGTTGGCCAGACCACCTCAGCTGACGGCAGAAAACTTCTCCCCAAAGTCGGGCTGAGTCACAGCCTGCCTTCAGCCGACATTTCCGGAGCCTCTGCTGGGCCCAGCTGGGGATACAGAGACAGACCCACAGGACAGAACTGTTGCTCTTGGGTGGCTTATCACTTGGAGGGTCTCCCCCAGATCACAGTGTGACTCAGGCCTCCCTGCCCTGGGGCCCACAGGGGCTCAGATTGGGAGGGTGGCAGTGGTTGGCTTTGTGGGGTGTTTTGGGTCCCCGCCCTCCTCGACACATAAAGCTACACCTGCATAATCCACAGCCAGCCCTCGAAATCTGGGCCTCAGGCCTAACCTGGATGCTTTTTTATTTTTATTTCTTTAGGAAAAGGTATTCTGCTAACCACCTTGACCCTTAGTTTGGTTTGTGTTTGTTGTGTGAGGAACATAAGACCTGGGCTTTCCCCAGCAGGATCTTTTTCTCTTTCTGGCCCCTGGACACTGCCCTGTTCATCCCACCCGCTTCCTTCACCCTCCCAACGTTTTTCTGTCACTCTCTCCAGCACTCCCTCCTGTACCCCAACCCTTCAACTCCCTGGAAGTGTCCTTTGGGGAAATGAGCGAGAGGGGATTCAGGGAAAGCTAGTGACCCACAGGGGCAGGCCTCTCCTAGAGCAATGGGAGCAAGAGGCCGGAGGCCCAGAGATGAGCGTTGTGGGTGCAGTGGAACTGGTCAAATGGTGGAAGTACCCTGAGATGTCTGTAACCCCTATTTTTTTATTTTAAGCCCCATTTGTATGTCTAGGAAGGAGGATATTTAGTGAATTCTTTTTTTTCCAGGCCTGTCCATTTCTAAATATATTGAACATAATAATGTTATGAGCAAATGAAGTTATACTCGATACATTTCTATGATGTTAAAATAACAAAGGACTTCACATTGTTTTGGAGTATTAAAAATAAGTATTACACAGTTTTTCCTTTTCCTCTAGTTTTCAGAAGCCCCCTTCCCACTGTGGTACACGCCTACACACACACACTCTCTCACTCAGAAAGAAGCTTCTCCTGCTTTGCTGTTAGCCTTTCTCTCTGGGGTGTCAGGCAGAGAAGAGTGAAGGCTGGGATGGCCCTGGGGCTGGAGAGCTGGCAGGGCGGGGTAGCAGTGCTCTCAGATGCTCAGCTGCCCCTACGGCTGAGACCCCAGGGTGAGGGGCCTGGGACTCAGGGTCCGCGTGCAGGTGAACAGAGGGAGTGGCAGCAGGCTCCGAGGCCAGACTACATTGCGCCTCAGTCAGGGTGTGATAGTATGAGAAGCCTCCATTTGTTGACACTCTATATACAGTATCTCATCTTATCCTCCAACAGCCCTTTGGGCTAAGTATTCTTAACCCCATTTTACAGAGGAGGAAGCAGATGTTGTAGAGCTGGGACTCTCCCAGATCTGTCCACCTGCAAACCTCCAGGAGCCCTGGGACTGTAGGGAGCTCACAGAATGTAAGGAGTTTCTAGTACAACTTGTGTGTACAGAGAGGCTGCATACGAAGGGGGAGAGTCAGGCCTGTCCAGTGCTTGGTGAACCAGCCGTATGATTTGGACAGTGTCCTTTGCCACCAGAGCCTGCGTCCTCACCAGGTTGGCGTCCCTCCTTACAAAGTGTTTAGGAGAATCAGATGCAACAGTGGATGAGAACGTGCCAACATGCTGATTGGCACTCAGGATACACTCAGTGTATGTGAGTGTAACTTCCTGTTCCTTGGTTTCCTCCTGTCAATTCTAGCTGTTGATAATAGCATTTAACTCCCTTTGTGGTTAGGAGGATTAAAGAAGGCAGTGTATGTTGGAGAAGGACCGCAAAGCACCGTGTGTGGCTGTTCATTCCCGTCTGTTATCTGAGTGATTTCTGGCTGAGCACTGGGGACCTTTGCCCTGGCTCTTTCCTCTGCCCGGAATGCTCTTCCCATTCCAGGATCTCATCCAGACTTCATTCAGGTCTCTGCTTCCCTGTCACCTCTCAGTGCCTTATTGGGACCGGACGTATGTTCATTGGTTTATCAGTGTTTTGTCTGCCTCCTCAAGTAGAATGGAAGCTTCATAAAGGGAGCGCTTTCTCTGCCTTGTTCATCCCAGTGGCCCAGCACCTGGTACGCAACAAGAACCTGATAAATGCTTGTGGGATGCTTGGCTGACATCATCTGCCTCTGTCTTTCCACAGGCAAGGTGACCATTCTGGCTACTAGAGTGAGTGTGCCAGCCTGGGTGAGGAGGCAGAGACAGGTGAGGGGCTTTGGAGCCTGTGCATGCTGGTGGTGGGGACTGGAGGAGGAGGGCTGGGGTGGGAGAGGCATCCCCTGTGCCCCACTGTGAGGACGGAGGAGAGAGCATTCAGATGCCTGGTGGGTGAGCTGCGGAGGGCTCCTCCCTTCCTTGGTCCAAAAGCGCAAAGCCTCTTTTGTGGGGGCTTTGATGAGTCAGGGAGGCAAGTAGTCGATAGTGGACTGGAGGCCTCCACCCTTTTACATTAGGAAGGGTTTCCCATCTACTGGAAATTCCTACAATATTTGTGCCAAAGAAGGAAATGAGTGCTTTCCTCTAGGAGAGAAATTGAAACTCAAATGGAAGATGAAGACTAGTCAGGTAAAGCCAGTAACTATGGCAACAGTCTGGTGGGGTTGGGGGATCATGTAACACAAATCAGGTCAGAACCCTGGCTGTGTTGTGTTCAGCTGATGATAAACTAGTCCGTTTAGTCGTCAGTCTGTCTCTTACGCACCAGGAATCACACCAAGAAGTCTGAGTCTGGACAGTGACATGAATACAATGTCCCTGCCCTCACAGAGTTGACAGTTTGGGGGAGACAGTAGCAAACTGTGCAAGAATGGCACCTGACCCAGACGAGGGTGGGAGGCCTGAAGCATGAATAGGAAAGAGCCGGGGGAGGGTGTCAAGAGACTCCTCCTGAGGGACCAGCATGCACAAAGAGGCTGGTCCACTGGGGCCTTGCTGGAAGCAGGGAGCCTCGGAGGCCCGGGCCGCTTCCCACTGTACCCAAGAGAGGATACACTGTGCCAGTCTGAGGCCAATCTCAGCGGAGAATTCAGGTTTCTCATCTCCTGGCAGTGTCTCTGTGACCTGTGATAGGTGAGTGCAGTTATAGGGGTTTATAAAACAGTGGTCTTTGTTCTTAAGATGGGAAGAGTGTGTTTTGTGTCTCTCCTGTGACTGGAGAGTCTTAGCCTGACCCTGAGTTGTTACAATGTCTGTGGCACATTGGTCACACTGATCTAAATTCCAAGAATACTGACAAGTTTTGTCTTTGTCCTTCTCCTCCGCTTACCTCCTCCCTGTGCCCTGAGTAGCCTGCCGGGGCTTCTCTCACTTGTTCCCACGGCCTGATGTCGGAGGCCATGGACCAGCCAGCCGGGAGTCCAGGAAACCCAAGGTCAGAAGAGGGTGGTGATGGCAGCATGGAGCCAGGCACCTGCCAGGAGCTCCTGCACCGACTGCGGGAGCTGGAGGTGAGGCACGGGGCAGGGTGGGGGTGGCGGTGCTGGCCAGAGCCCTGGGGAGCTTGCTGTGGGGTTTTTGGGTGTGGGTGGACCTTCATCTCAGTCCGCTTTGCCAGGCTGGAGCAGAGCTGAACATTTCTTTAGCAGAGCTCCTCCAACAAGCCCTTCCTTGCTCTTAGCTCTCCAACCCGGTGCCAGCTCAGGACAAGAGGCATGTACAGAGTGGAGCTGTCCTAGCCCTCAAACGTCTCCCTCACCCATCTTCTCCCCCAATTTCATGCCCCTGCTGGCTCCAAGAAAGGAGTGGTCACAGAGGCCCCGGGAAGAAGGGTTTGGATGACGCGAGACTCAGGAGTTGAGGGACAAGGACATGGATCCTTAAACTAGGCCCTTTGCCACATTCTTGATACCCTGCCCTCCTGCCTCCAGCCTCCTCTGCCTTCTCCCCAGGGAAATAAGGGTTACTTTTGGCACCTCCCACCTTAATTCCTCCTGGCCACTGCGTCTCTCCAGCCCCTCCAACCTCACTGACTGAGATTGGGGTTTACAGAATCCCCATCTCAGCTCTGCCTGCCTGATGCCCTCAGTCCGTCTCTGCAGGCCTCCCCATGGCAGAATCCGACCAGAGCCAAGAGCTGGCGCAGGGGTGTAGGTAGTAGACTCTTGGCTCTCCCTTCCCCAAAATCAATTTGCCCTGGAGGAAGAACAATCCTATAGCCTCCTTCTTGCCCTCTTGCTCCCTCCTGCAGGCAGAGAACTCAGCACTTGCCCAGGCCAACGAAAACCAGCGGGAGACCTATGAGCGCTGTCTGGATGAGGTCTGTGGGGTCTGTAGTGGGACTGATGCTGGGGCGGGGACATGGCTTGTCTGCTCCAGGCAGAGGCTGCATTGGCTGACAGCTCTGCCTCGGGGTTTTCTGTCCCCAGGTTGCCAACCACGTGGTGCAGGCACTGCTGAACCAAAAGGTAAGTGGCCACGGGAGACATTCTCACTTCCTAGCCCAGATGCCCTGGGTCCAGCAGGGGAGGTCCTTCCTGGGGATCCCTGAGTCTGCTCACCTAGGGGCAAGAGGAGGGGACTTGGTGGAAATGGCCTATTAGCAACTCCAGTGAAGCCCCCGCCCCCGCCTTGGACAAGTCCATACTGTTCTACCTGGAGGCAGGGGAGGGCTAGGTAAGGCCAGATCTCTGAGTTATGGTGACTTTGATTTGAGCTGAATCCTTCCCTTATCCTGGCCCCAGCTGGTTTCTCCAGGTTGTGATGGCCCTGACAGCAATGATCTTGTGAGCATAGGGTGTCATCTGAATATCTATCTACTCAAGTACTGTGGGTAGCTTCTTGACATCTGGGCCACTCTGACCCCCTGCTCTGCCTCATATGGGCCCTTCTTTGATGTATGGTTTCTAAGAGGTAGGGGGTTGGCTCCAGGAATGGGAAAGGCGCCGAAGGGAATGAGTTTTATCTCCCACCAGGGGTGGTAAACTTGAGACAATTTATCATCCCCAGAAGATGTGATGGCTACAGAGACAGGCAGGCTCAGCTCCGTCATAGAAGGAGGTTGCAGGAGAAGGGCCCGCTGCTCTGATGAAGGGCACTGTGCTAGGACCACTCTCCTTCTCCTCACATCCTCTTTTTGTCTTCCTGCACGTCCTGGGCGGGCGGCAGGACCTGCGGGAGGAGTGCATCAAGCTGAAGAAGAGGGTGTTTGACCTGGAACGGCAGAACCAGATGCTCAGCGCCCTGTTTCAGCAGAAGCTTCAGCTCACGACGGGCTCCCTCCCTCAGGTGGGCTCAAGCACTTCCCCTTCCCTCTCCATAGCTCAGCTTCCTGCCCCAGCCCAGCCCCATCAGCATCACGGTCTTTTCTCCAAGACACCTGTAGAAGCAGGCTGTCAGCCATTCCCCTGTTCCTCCCCAGCCAGGGAAGGCCCACCTAGCCTGATAGATCTGAGCCTTAGATGGGGGAAACTCCCTAAGTCCCCTCAGGCTTAGCTGTCCCCCCGAAGTGCTCCCCACCCAGCTGAGTGGCATCCCTTCTTGTTGACCGAGAAGGTTCTTGCTTGCTCCCGCCCTGTGTGGGGAGATGGGTGGAGGCTGAAAACGTAGTTATTTCAAGCTCCCAAGTGGCCCCTTTGGCCACTGAATTGCCTCTTCTTGGCCAGGGGTGGGGCCGGGTGTAAGAGCCCAGTGCTTGGTGTCACAGAGAGGTCAGGAAAGGCACTTCACCCTGGAGCCCTGTGTGTGCTCGTAGCTGCAAATGCTCGCCTGCCAACACATAGGCATGGCCGCAGACGCTGGGTCCTGCTTCTAGCCCTGACACCTGCCTTACCCGGGAGAAGCGGGAGGCTACTGGGAATGGATCTTGGGCTCAGTTAAGATGTCACTTGGGGGTCACTCTGTCAGGAAGCCCCAAGGATGGGGTAAGACATAGAGGTGGGAGGATCAGGAGCAGCTCCAGGTACCTGAGGTAAACAGCAGGTTCTGAGGGGTCAACCAGCACACCCCTGCCCCCGACCCCTGCCAACGTTGTGTGTATCTATCTGGATTTGTGTGTCTGCCCCATGCAAACCAGGCAGCTCTGGGCCCCCAGACTCTGAGCAGGATGTCTCTCAGCTCCCTGGGAAGCCTGACACCTGGCAAAGGAAGCCTCGTCACCATGGCCTTTCTGGAGCCCCATCCACCAGGCCGGCGCAGAGCTGGGTCTGAATCCACCGCACTGACCTGGTGGCTCTGCGGGCCCTGGTCTGTCCCTGCTGCAGGGTTCACCCTGGCAGCCCCAGAGGCCTGAGCACACTGGCTGAGCTCACCCCGTCCTCAGTGACTGGTGATAACAGAGGTGTAGATCATCCTTAAATCACTGATTTTTTTACTTAAATGAATTCTGGGACATCTTGAGGTTTGGGGTAATAGATTTATCTTCCCCAGAGGTAATATGACATCATGGAAAGAGCATGAACCCTGGCCTCAGAGAAGCTTGGGCTGAGTCCCTAACTTAGCTAATTTTTAGTTGTGTGACCTTGGGTAAATTAACCTTACAAACCACAGTTTTTCCCTTATAAATGAAGATTAAAATACCCATTTTGCAGGTTGTTCTGAGGATTAAATGAGATAATATATAGTAATCGGCCCATAGTAGATAGTGGATAATTGGCAGCTATTTTTCATTATTAATGTTATTCCCAAGTGGTGCTTTGCTAGGACAAAAGCTCCATTGGGCAAATGGTAATTAAGCTCTTCCTGTGAGCACTGCCTTTGCCAACACACGTTGAATTGGACGGCTGTGCCCTGTGCAGAGCAAGCATACCCCTGAAGGCTGGGCCTGCTGGGAGCTGAGGCAGGTCTACAGACAGCCATAGTACAAAGCAGGGTGTGCCAGTGCAGTCTAGGAGTGCAGAGGGGAGAGAGGCCATCAGAGATGGGCTGGGGAGAGTTCCCCTTAGGAGGAGACATTGGACCTGGGCCTTGATGGACGGGAGATTTAAAAAGAGTGGAGTAGGGGTTGGGGAGGAGGGATTCCCTGTGGAAGGAACGGAGCAGGGAGCAGCAAGCTATTCAGCTGGGCCGGAACAAAGGACATGTGAAGGAGCTGAGTGAGACAGGGAAGACCCGGCCAGCCAGGCCGGAATACCAGCAGAGGAGTTCAGACTTGTCCCCACAGGCAGTGGGCGGGCATAGGAGGCTTTGAACACAAAGATGCTTTAGGGAAAAAAAAGAAACAAATGCTTTAGGCTGCCTTGTGCACAGGAGATTGAAAAGCCACCGAACCAGGTCAGGGAGAGTGAAATGCTGAGCAGCATCCAGGCCAGAGGTGTGAGGATCTGGGCTGCAGGAGCATCTGCAGATGGCCAGGCTGGAGGGGAGGCTGAGAGACCCACAGAGACAGGGTTTAAATGCTGTGGAGAATGAGGGTTAAAGCTGACTTGTATCTAGTGGAGTTGCCTAGGAAAGGGAAATGACATTTTTAGGTACTGTGTAACCCACGATTAAATACTACCTTCATAATCCTCAGAGTACGGGTTTTACATGAGACCAGTTAGGGGAGACAGTGATAACTTCCACCGTCTCTTTTCTAGGCCCCAGTAACAAAGGCCTCTTCCTTTGGTCTCAGCCATCCCTGTGATGCTGCGGTCACAGACAATCAGAACAGGAACAGGTCTCGAGGCTCGCCCTCTCTGTAATAGAGGACGAGACCCCACAGAAAAGCAGGGTGGTCCTGCAGTCACAATGGGCACCCAGGTTAGGCCTGCCGCCACCCTCTGGCCAGGGGCACTCCTCTTTCTCTGAAGCCCCCGACCGGTCCCACCTCCCTGCCGCCTGGCCTTGTGCTCTTTCAGTCTGCCTGTGCTGTGGTCTCCCAAGGCTCCTCTGACCAAGTGGTGGGGACAGTGGTGAAAGCCACACCTTGGGCCAGGAGACGTCCTTGAAGGGACAGACTTGGAAGGACGTTTTCCTGCCCCTGGGTGAGAAGGCCTAGCTTCGTGAGGGAATAGGGACCTGGAACAGACAGCGCCCATGCTAACGCTGCCTCTCCCCTGCAGATCCCACTCACCCCACTCCAGCCACCATCAGAGCCACCAGCCTCTCCCTCCCTGAGCTCCGCCGAGGGACCGGCCGCCTCACTGCCTCTGGGGCACTGTGCTGGGCAGAGAGAGGTAGGAGGGCTGGGCACGGTGGTCTGTGGCTTTGCTGGCCACAGGTTCGTCAGTTGGTACTCCATTGCTGTTTTCTAACGAATCCCAGGGGAAGAGCTGCTTCCTGGTGCACAGATTCTTGTCCAGGCTGGGTGTGAGCCCTCAGCTGTCAGCCTCATACCCAGAAAAACAGATCCCCACCCCCAACCGCGGGCCTTTGCAGCAAAGGCGTTAGTACTGCAGTAAGACTCCTAGTTAACCCTCCTGAGCTCTTACTCTGTGCCAGGCACTGTGCTGAACATCTGGACACCATTTATCTTATCTTTTTTTTGTAATTTTTGGCATGAATTTCTAATTGTATACATATTTATTTATCCAAGTCCAGAAGTATTATTCATTTATTCTTTTGTCTCTCTGGTTTTTCTTATTTTATGAAGTTGAATATAATTACCATCCCATTTTACAGATGATACTGTGGAGCTTAGAGGTTAAATAACTTCCCAAAGCTCATATAACTAGTTAAGTGGTAGACCTGGGACTTGAACCTACAGAGTCTGGCTGCAGAGCCCATGTAATTAACCACTATGTCAGACTGGACTGAGCCAGAGAAGGGGCAGGCAGAAGCAGGGAGGTACTTGCAGTGGAGTCATTCTCCACGGGGATCAGGTCAGCAGGACGGCTGTTTGACCTCAGAGGGCCTGGGTTGGCTGCAGTAGCTGACTTAGGACTTGGCCACACCACATCCCCTTATGGAGTCTCTGTCTTCTTTCTGGAGCCTGAAAAATGGACATGCCTCTCTCCCCTGGGGCGAACAAAGATGTCAGGGTTGTAGGTGGCTAGCCCTGCTGACCCTAACAGTAGTAGGAAAGGGGTCAGGGGCTGGGATAACCAGGAAGGGAGGTGGGGTGCTCACCCAACCCCAGCTATGTCAAGAAAAAGAATTGTGGTGACCAGGTCTCAGCAACCCTTGAGGAAGCTGAGCCATCATATCCCAGAAGCTGGCAATTCCTTTTGGGGACACAGACAAAACCAGGCCAGCTCTGTTACACTCAGCCCACATCGTGGGCCTGCACACAGTCTCCTTCTCATGCCATTTCTCCCCCAAGGTATGTTGGGAGCAGCAGCTGCGGCCAGGGGGCCCGGGACCCCCAGCTGCCCCACCCCCAGCGCTGGATGCCCTCTCCCCATTCCTTCGAAAGAAAGCCCAGATCCTGGAGGTGCTGAGAGCCCTGGAAGAGACTGACCCCTTGCTTCTGTGTTCACCTGCCACCCCCTGGCAGCCTCCAGGCGAGGGTCCTGGCTCCCCGGAGCCCATCAATGGCGAGCTGTGTGGCCCTCCCCAGCCTGAACCCTCACCTTGGGCCCCCTACCTGCTACTAGGTCCTGGTAGCCTGGGAGGCCTGCTGCACTGGGAGCGCCTCTTGGGGTATCTGGGGGAAGAAGAGGGTGCTGGGCGGCCCTGGGGCCCTAGCAGGGGCTCTCCCCAGGCCCAGGGCACCAGCTCTGGCCCGCCCTGTGCGCCGGGAAGCAGTTCCTCCTCTTCTTCTGATGAGGCAGGTGACCCCAATGAGGCACCCAGCCCCGACACCCTGCTTGGGGCCCTGGCCCGCAAACAGTTGAACCTGGGCCAGCTCCTTGAGGACACTGAGTCTTACCTACAGGCCTTCTTGGCCGGGGCTGCAGGCCCACTCAACAGGGACCACCCAGGTCCCGGGCAGCCATCCTCCCCAGACCAGGGGCCCCCACAGCTGTCTAAGTCCAAAGGCCTCCCCAAGTCAGCTTGGGGTGGGGGTACCCCAGATGTCCACAGGCCGGGCTTTGGTGCTACCTCAGAGGGCCAGGGGCCCCTCCCCTTCCTCAGCATGTTCATGGGTGCGGGGGATGCCCCCCTGGGTTCACAGCCTGGCCACCCCCACTCCTCATCTCAGGTGAAAAGCAAGCTCCAGATGGGCCCCCCTTCTCCTGGGGAAGCCCAGGGAGCCCTTCTGCCCTCTCCAGCCAGAGGTCTCAAATTTCTAAAGCTGCCTCCAGCCTCGGAGAAGGTCCCCAGCCCAGGAGGCCCCCAGCTCAGCCCCCAGCTCCCCCGGAACTCCCGAATCCCCTGCCGGAACAGTGGCTCAGATGGCAGCCCCTCCCCACTGCTGGCCCGCAGGGGTCTGGGTGGAGGAGAACTGTCCCCGGAGGGGGCGCAGGGCCTGCCCACCAGCCCTTCACCCTGTTCCACAACCCCGGACTCTGCGCAGCTCAGACCTCCCCAGTCAGCCTTGTCTGCCACACTATCCCCAGGACCAGTGGTGTCTCCCTGCTATGAGAACATCCTGGACCTTTCCCGGAGCACCTTTAGGGGGCCTTCCCCAGAGCCACCTCCATCCCCACTGCAGGTACCCACCTACCCCCAGCTAACTCTGGAGGTGCCACGGGCCCCTGAGGTCCTCAGGAGCCCTGGAGTGCCCCCCAGCCCCTGCCTCCCAGAATCTTGCCCCTATGGGAGCACCCAGGAGAAGAGTTTGGATAAGGCAGGCTCAGAATCTCCCCATCCTGGCCGCAGGACCCCAGGCAGCTCATCTAAGAAGCCCAGCCAGGGGGCAGGGCGGCGACCTGGGGATGCTGGCCACACACCTCTTCGGGACAGACTGGCAGCCCTGGGGAAACTGAAGACTGGCCCCGAGGGGCCCCAGATCCCAGAGAAGAATGGGGTGCCAGCCAGGCCTGGCACCGAGAAGGCCCGGGGAGCAGGGAGGTCAGGGGAGAGCACTGGAGACATGGTGCCCTCTGCCCCTAGGCCCCCTGAGCAGCCAGAAGGCAAGGGGGCCCTGCGGGGGGCAGTGGCCTTAGGCACAAGCAGCCTGAAGCAGCAGGAACCAGGGCTTCTGGGGGATTCTGGGGCCCGAGTCTACTCCTCCCATTCCATGGGGGCCCGGGTCGACCTGGAGCCTGTCTCACCAAGGAGCTGCCTCACCAAAGTGGAGCTGGCCAAGAGCCGGCTGGCAGGGGCCCTGTGCCCCCAGGTACCCCGCACCCCTGCCAAAGTGCCCACCTCAGCCCCCAGCCTCGGCAAGCCCAATAAGAGCCCCCATGGCAGCCCTACAAAGCTACCTTCCAAGTCACCCACCAAGGTGACACCCCGACCTGTGGCCCCACCTGGCACCAAGGAGCCCCCCAAGCCTGACAAGGGGAAGGGCCCACCTTGGGCAGACTGTGGTGGTACCACAGGCCAGTCCACGCCCCCAGTGCCTGGCACTGCTGACCCAAGCCAAGGCCCTGAGGGGCGGGCCCCACACTCGGCCATCGAGGAGAAGGTGATGAAGGGCATTGAGGAGAATGTGCTGCGGCTCCAGGGCCAGGAGCGGGCACCAGGCGCCGAGGCCAAGCACCGCAACACCAGCAGCATCGCCAGCTGGTTCGGCCTTAAGAAGAGCAAGCTGCCAGCGCTGAACCGGCGCACGGAGGCCACCAAGGGCAAGGAAGGAGCCAGTGGGGGCTCCCCACTCCGGAAGGAGGTCAAGATGGAAGCCCGGAAGCTGGAGGCTGAGAGCCTGAACATCTCCAAGCTAATGGCTAAGGCGGAAGACTTGCGCCGGGCACTAGAGGAAGAGAAGGCCTACCTGAGCGGCAGGGCCCGGCCACGGCCCGGGGGACCAGCACCAGGGTCCAGTGCAGCGCTGGGACAGGTGCAGGGCCAGCTAGCTGGCATGTACCAGGGTGCAGACACCTTCATGCAACAGCTGCTCAACAGGTGAGGGTCTGGGACCAATCAGCAGGTGCTCCGTGGCTGAGGGCACTTTTCCTTTCACGGGCACACCTGGGGCTGAGGCTGGGGCTGGGCCTACCTTTCCTGGGAGCTTGGGCTTCACAGAGGTCAAAAGGAGTAGGAGGTCAAGTAAAATGTTACCAAAGCATCTAGGGGTTAGTGGCCTGGCCTGGAGGAAAGATTGGGGGCTTGAACCAGAGACAGGGGCTTTGTGGCTGGCTCCCCTCCTTTCTGGATGTCTGATGTCAGACTTGCTGAGACCTGGTTCCTCGTTTGAGAAGAGTTAACAGTCCACATTTTCCTGGATCCTCTCCAGTGTCAGGTGAGGCAGCCTGTCTAGGTGCCTGCACTCAGTAGTTAGGGGAATGCCGTTCCTCACCATTGGCTGGTGAAGGTCTTCCTCTGGGGTTTTTATCCTATACGACAAGGATGGTCCCCTTGCTGTCTTGCTCTTTGGTACCTGCCACAGACTCAGCAGTGGGAGCTGTGGTTTAGAGACGGGGCCATCCCATCTTGGGGTTGCTCTGTCTGGGCCAGATGAGGCAGAATGCAGGGGTTGAGCCCCAGGTAGGGTATGGCTTGGATAGCAAGTCTGTTCAAGTTCAGCTGGGGCTGGCAGGGTGTGTCCCACGTGTGCCAGGATGTCACCGGCTCTGCCATCTACCTGCAAAGACTGTTGAAAGATTCCTTGGCTCGACTGTGGACTGCTTTGAGGGAGTTCTTCCGTCTCCCCTGCCCCTGCTGTTCCTTGGGGTTTTCCCTAGGGTCTCTGCCTGTTCCCAGTGTCTGGAGGGGTTGATGGGGGCAACCACCAGGGATATGTCGACTTCCCCGGGGGCGGGGGGCCGTGGGTGCTCACTCGGCCCAGCACCATTGGAGGGAGTGAGGCCGAAATGTCTGGGTGGACCCAGGCCTCCCTCACCTGCGTCTCCACCCCTGCCCCTAGGGTGGATGGCAAGGAGTTACCACCTAAGAGCTGGCGGGAGCCCAAACCCGAGTATGGCGATTTCCAGCCAGTGTCCTCTGACCCCAAGAACCCCTGGCCAGCCTGCGGGCCCCGAAATGGCCTGGTGGGCCCTCTTCAGGGCTGTGGAAAACCTCCTGGGAAGGTAGGTTCTTGGGACAGGGGCTGGGTAGAGGGCCTGGCTCTGTGGTCCTGCCAGGTCTCTTGCCCCCTGGAGGGCTCCCGTTCCCTGGGTCCTAGAAGCAGCTTGATGCACTCCTAGTCTCTGAGGGAGACTGGGGAGGGGAGATGGCCTCCTGAGGGCTGGCAGGCTGCGGGCACTCTCGGACCCGTACTCCAGGCAGAGCTATTGGCAGAGCTTGCGGAGGGGTTTGGGCCGGGGGAGAAATGAGCTCTGAGGTCTCCTGTACCGCACACAGCCGAGCAACGAGCCAGGGAGGCGGGAAGAGATGCCCTCGGAGGACAGCCTGGCTGAGCCAGTGCCCACCTCACACTTCACAGGTCAGCAGGGTCAGGGGCCAAGGATGGGACCTGCCCCTCACCCCCTGCCCACTTCACTCCTTCCTCTCACTGCAGCAGGTGCCAGGCCCTGAGTGTCATCTTGGTGCCAAACACCAGTTGGGCACTGGGGCTGCACAGGAATAAATCCCTCCCTGCTCTCAGGGGTACCTGCCTTGCCCCCTCCCAAGCCTAGGGGAGGCGGGGAAGGGCAGGGATGACAGCCTCTTGGGCCAGGAAGCTGGAAGAAGGCAGCCTGCACCACATGCAGCATCACATCACTCACTTACCCTCCCCTCGCCAGCCTGTGGCTCCTTGACTCGAACCCTGGACAGTGGCATTGGGACCTTCCCGCCCCCAGACCATGGCAGCAGTGGGATCCCCAGCAAGAATCTTCCCAAGACCAAGCCACCACGGCTGGAGCCCCCACCTGGGGTGCCCCCAGCTCGACCCCCACCCCTTACCAAAGTCCCCCGCCGTGCCCACACGCTGGAGCGTGAGGTGCCGGGCATAGAGGAGCTGCTGGTGAGCGGGCGGCACCCCAGCATGCCAGCCTTCCCTGCACTGCTCACTGCTGCTCCGGGCCACCGGGGCCATCAGACCTGTCCTGACGGTGAGTGTCCTGGCAGGGGGGTGGGCCATCCCTGGAGCACCACCTACCACCACCCACCTTCCCCTTGTCCCTGGACAGATCCCTGTGAAGACCCAGGCCCTCCCCCTCCTGTCCAGCTGGCCAAGAACTGGACCTTCCCCAACGCGAGGGCAGCCGGCAGCTCCACTGACCCTTTCCTGTGCCCACCCCGACAGTTGGAGGGGCTTCCCAGGACCCCTATGGTGAGCATGGCTGAAGGGGAAAGGGATCAGGACTGAAGGGCAGGTGGGAATGACATGGGGAGACCAGTTTCTGCAGTGAGATACAGCCTGTCTGGGAGGGCTGAGGGGACAGCTCCTGGACCACCCACCCACCTGCCCTTCTCACACTGCTCTTGGGGAAAGGGTTGCTGTCCGCTCCCAGAACCTTGGTGGGACTGTGCTCAGTCGTGCCTCCAGCCTGCCTCCTCTGAAGTGCATCCTGCCTCGGTGGCCCATCTGCAGTGCCCCCCAAGGTGGGCAGAGCCCAGTGCCTCAGGCTGGGCCAGGAGGCGAGAGGAGCTTCCTCTCCAGCGGCCCCTCCTTTCCCAGGCCCTGCCCGTGGACCGCAAGCGGAGCCTGGAGCCCAGCCGCCCGGCCCCTACGCCCCAGGGCCCAGCATTTGGGGGTAGCCGCACCCCCAGCACATCGGACATGGGCGAGGAAGGGAGAGTGGCCAGTGGGGGCCCCCCAGGACTTGAGACCTCGGAGTCTCTCAGCGACTCACTCTACGACTCACTCTCCTCCTGTGGGAGTCAGGGCTGAAGGGCTGCGCCACACCGTGGCCCCTCTCTGGAGTTGGAGACCACAGACTGGACCAGTTCTCCTCATGCTGGGGCCAGCAAGGCCCTTTCCTGAAGGGACCAAGCAGGCAGATGGACAGGAATGTGAAGGGGGTCCCTGGCACACCCCACTGCTGCTGTTGAGGAGATGACTGCTCTCAGCTCAGGGAGAGACCCCACCCTTGGTCCCTTCTCTCACCTGGAGTAAGGCTATTCCTCTGAGGGACTGGGGGTTCAAGGCCGCTGTGTACCAGCCCCCAGCTCCCACTTCAGGCTGAGCCATCTCGTGGTGCTGGGCTTCCTGCCCGCCAGCCGTGCCATCTCTGCCCAACCTGGCTGCCTCCTGCCCCAGTGCCCCCGTGGGGCCAGCCCAGAGGCCCTGTGCTGGTGGAGTTTGGGGGCAAGGGGTCCAGTTGCCTTCTCTCTCTGTCTGCCCTGGTCCTCCCTGCTGTCTGGATGGTGCTGCCCTTCCCTGCCCCGTGTCTTTGGGGTCCATTTGTCTGTCTTTTTGTTGTTGTTTTTATATTAAAGCATCTGGCCCAGTTCCCATCCCCCATCCCGCACTGCGGTTAATTTATCTGTTGTTAAAAATGCGGCTGCTCTGCTTCCAGCCTCTGCTTCTGCCGTATCCCTAATAAAACATGGAGGCCCCTCCCTGCCCCTGACTCAGCTTGTTCTGTGGGAGGACTCAGGAACGGATAGTTGGGTGGAGATTGCATGGGCACCAGGGGGAGGGACCCCGGGGACCTAGACTATGCCCCAGTGCCCTTGTGAGGCAGCCCCTCCCCGACTAGGGGAGCTGCAGAAGGTAACAAGGTGTTGGGGAAGTGGGGCCTGCTAAGGCCTGGAATGGTACCTGGGGCTGGGAGATTCCCCTTGGGTGGGGCAGAAGCCTGGGCTGCCCTGTGGGCATGTACTTCAAACTCCCGTACGTACCAGGTACAGGGGACATGCAAACTGAGCTTCAGGGTTAGAGGGGAGACAGTTAGGTGTCTGTAGCCTCCTGTTTGCAATGAAGTTAAGCACAACTGGGTCTCAAACTGTTGCCACCTTCTTATCTCTCCTCAGACTTTGGGCTTTCCCCAGATCTTGCCTGTGTTTATACCTCGGATTTCAACCACAAGTTCCCCTAGCTCTGAAATTCTTATGTTAAGAAGGCGAGGCAGGAATAATGCTGTGCAGAAGGGTCTAGGCTTCCAGGAGTTATTTTGGACTCCACATGGCACAAGAAAGCCATGGGGTGGTTGTGATGCCCCCAGCCCTTGAGTTTCCTGTGGGTTGTGGAGCTGAGCAACGACCTGAAGTGAACCAGGTGGCAGCCAGCCCATCTCACATTGGCCAGCCACATTGGGTCTAGGAAGGCATCCTTTCTGCCCAGGTTGCAAGATGTGGGGTGACTTGTCCAGAGCACCCACCTGATGTAACTTACACTTGCCACCTCCTCATGACGCAGTCTGGAGGCTCCTTGGACAGCGTGCATGCTCGGCACGCTGCATGCATAGTCCCAGCCTATGGAGAGGTCATCGTGGGGGTGGAAGTCCTGTAGTGGCTACACACATGGTTTGTATTGGTACCACAGGCTTGCCAAGCTGAGGTCAGGGAGTAGTGCTGGGCCCATTCACAACTCAGTTATACTGCTGGATGCCACCCTGTGCTCTGACAAGCCCAAGGAAGGTTGTGGGTGGGGAAGGTGCCAGTGTCTCCCTTTATATTAGCTTCTTCCAGGAGTGTCTCTCCAGCCCCTGAATGCTCCAGAGAGCTGTGAAGGAACTCCCCCCCCATTAAAATAAACACCATCATGCTGCCAGACTCCTGATCCCTAACCCCCACGATAGCCCTGCTGGAGAAAGCACTGTCCTCATTTCACAGATGAAGACATGGAGGCTCAGAAACATTTGATCGTTTTCCAAGGCTGAGAAGTGATGGAGCCTGGCCCAAGGGGGTCCTTTTTGGATGTGTAGCTTTGCTTTCTTCTGCCAGTTCTTTCGTCTCTTCCTCCCCCTTTGGCCTGTGGATCACTTCTGATGGGCACGGCTTGAGAGCACGAGGCTGGAAGTCAAGAGTCTTAGCCACTGAGTCTGCTTTTGTGGGGAAAGTTGCATCCCTTCTCTAGCCTTGGTTTTCCTCACCTATGGAAGATTAGGAGGTTGGGCCAGACCAGCTTTCTCCTTAGCTCTGCACTTCTTACCCATCCCCCAGTCTGGCCTCTTTCTCTCCTGCTTCCCTCGGTTGATATCATCATTGAAGAAACTAACAAGACTTAAAGAAGGGTCAAATCAGATGTCTTCGTTTTTAATGTCAGGATCTCATTTTCTTGCTTCCATCTTCTACTTCCAGGTTCCTCTCCCACTGACCCTTCTGCTTTTATGGGCTTAAGGATGATATTACTAAGCTGCAAATCTCTGCCTCATGCCAGGCAGGCTCAGAAAAGTCTGCATCTTTCTCCTGACTTTTTATTTCTTGGTTTTTCAAGCCCTTTTCTCTGTTTGAACCTGATGTATTACCTCATTTCCTTGTTATAACAGAATAGTTTGCGTGCAGGATATTTATTCTGTTTCCTCTCCGGGAAGGAGCTTGGCATGGTAGGTTTGACTCTGGACTCCACCTCCTACAAGCTGAGACCAAAGAATCCATCCATTTTACTGTTACCAGGATCTGATCAGTCTGCTGCCAGGTTCTGTTCTGCAGTGTTTGCAAATGCAAGGTGTCACCTTGGCCCCTGGGGCAGTGTGGGCTGACTGGGGAAATGTCTCTGTGTTAGTCACCAGAGCAAGGTAGCATCAGCCACACCTGGTGCCTGGAGCCAGCCCTTCCCTACTGACTGTTCCAAGGTGGGCCGCAGTCCTTCCTCAATGCTGCAGCGTGCTACTAAGGGGTGCTGGGCCCAGATAAGCCCATATAACTGTGTTTGCCCCCCACACGGATTGAATATTCCATCTGAAGTAATTCTGTGGATGGGGACACACAGGTGAGTTAAAGACACTCCTGGGAAACCTATTTCTCCTTGCACTTCAAGGAAGGGTTTGGCCCAAAGACCACCCGATCCTCACTATGGCAGAATACTTCGTATCTCAGTTTGCAACATCTGCTTGCAGGAGTAAGGTAACCTCACTGTTTTCTTCATGAACAATGTGTGAATTCTTGCCTTACCATTGTGTATGACCCCTTTTGCTGAATTTCCCAAAGAAAGGAAACCAAAACTGCCAGACCTCTTTTATTCCCTCCAGCTGGCATCGAGACATCAGCAAAAGACTATGAAAAGTTTTCAGGTCCCACCTCACTTGGGCACCCTGCCTTTTGCAGGAAATGTACCAAAATGTTAACAGGTTTTCTCTGGATTGCCGGTGATTTTAATTTTCTTCTTTACCCTTTTCTAGATTTTCTACAAATAGCATATTTTCTTTTCCTTATCAAAAAAAAGTTTTAAAAAAGAAATAATCATACTCTGCAGCAGACTCTAGATATATACCTCCATTCTGTAATCGTGTATCAGTTATTTCAAGGATCTAAATGAATATTTTTAAAAGATAGCCGAATTTGGGAAATAACGTTTTTAAAACCTTTTTTGCAGTTATTAAAGACATACAAAATTACAAAAGTGCATGTTAATAGTTTTTTTTTTTTTTTTAAGTAATTGAGATTGAGGAGAATGCTATACAAGGGAGAAGAGTCTCTTTCATAGTCCGACTCCCAGTCTCATTCCCCAGATATAACCCAAGTTGATTGGTAACCTTTCAAATCATTTTTTAAATGCACACACACACAGGATGTTTATGTTGACCTGTTATTAGACAATGAGATGATTCTATAGATAGTGATTTGCTGCTGCTTCTAGCGCTTAATAATATATCTTGGAGATCTTTCTGAAGCCCGTAAGTCTCCATCATCATACACAGTCTTCCACTGTATGGATGTGCCACGTTTCTTTGTTTTGCCATGACAAACAATGTGGCAGAACACTGCATATATGTCTTTGGCCGCTTGTGTATTTCCATAAGATAAATACCTATAAATGGAATTCCTGGGTCATAGAGCATGATTAATTTAAATTTTTATAGATATCAACAAATTACACTTCACCAACAATGTATAAATGGGACTATCTTCCACATCACTGAGTATTATCAAACTTTTTATTCCCGGCCAACTTGGTAGGAGTAAGTGATCTGCAGTCTTGTAGCCCAATGTAGGGACTTTGGCTTTTATTCAGAGTGAAATGGGGAGCCCCTAGAGCGGGATAAGAATAAACCGTAGAGGGCAAGCATGGAAACAGACCTATAGTGGACCTCTTGGGTAAGTGCAGTGAGAAATGGTGGTGACCTGTTGCAGGGTGGAGGCACATAGACAACAAGATTTGCTCATGTAAGTGACGTGAGGGAAGAAGAGCCACAGATAACTCCAAGGTTTTTGGAGCAACTGGTAGGAAGAAGTTAGCGTTAAGTGATATGGGGAAGACTGTGGATAGAGCAGACTTGGGGGAGGAAAGATCAGGAATTAACTGTTGGACATGTTAAATTTGAGATGTCTGTTGGACAGCATCCAGTGGAAAATGTGGAGTAAGCAGTTGATTATAGAAGTTGAGAGTTTAGAAGAGAGGCCCAGGCTGGAGATATAAATTAATAAGTCATCAACATATGGATGTTATTTAAAGCCAGGGGACTGGATGAGATCACCAAGGGAGTACAAAAGAGAAGGTCTGAGTCCTAAATTCTGGGATAGTCCGTTTCTTTCAAGGTCAGAGGAAATGAGGAAGAAAGCACAAGAGACTGAAAATATGGTACCAAGAGAATGTGGGGTCCTGGAATATGAGTGAAGAAAATGTTTCAAGAAAGATGAATCAGTATCAAATTATGCTGACGTGTCTGGCAAGAGGATTGAAAATTGTCTTTTGGATTTAGCGACATGGAGGTCATTGGTGACCTTAGCAAGAGCATTGATGGAAATGAAAGCTGTTTGGCGTGGTTCAAGGGAAAATGAGAAAGGAAGAATTGGAGCATAGACAACTCTTCTAAGGAGTAAGGGAGAAGACAGCAGGAGAGGGAACCAGGGTCAAGAAATGAGATTTTTATTATTTTTTGTCTTATTTTTGAAACTACCTCAAAGTTACATAAATGCTTTAAATACAGTAAAAAGAACTTTTTTTCTCCTAAACTATTTGAAAGTAAGTTGCCAACTTGATGCTGCATCACCCCAATACTTCAGTGTATATTTCCTACAAACAAAGGCATTCTCTTATACATCCCCAAGAACATCATCAAAATCAGGAATTAATATGTAACTACAACCTAATCCTCAGACCGCATTCGAGTTTCACCAATTGTCCAAATAATGTCCTTTATAGCCAGTTCAAAATCACACATTGCATTTAGTTATCATGTTTCTTTAGTCTCCTTCAACCTGGAACAATTCTTCAATCTGTCTTTGACTTTCATGACCTTGACACTGCCGAACACTACAGGCCATGATTTTGATTTGTCTCATTACTAAGGATGTTCACTTTCATTACTGGATTAAGTTGGTGTTTGCTAGGCTTCTCCATTATACATTTACTATTTTTCCCTTTATAATTACTAAGAACATGGTGGGGAGGTACTGTGAAACTATCTAAATATTTCATTTTCATCAAACCTTCTATTCATTTATTCATATCAGTATGGACTCATAGTTTCCTATTTTATTTAATGATTTATAATCTATTACTATCATTATTTACTTTGATGCTCAAATCGTCCATGATTTGGCCAGTAGGTGCCCCTTCGAGCTGGCTTCTGTCTTTTTGACAAATCCCCATCATTCTCTGAGGACGTACTTACTTTCTGGCGTAACATGCTGAAGAATCATCTTGGACTTTCCCCAACACAGCCCTGGAATCAGCCATTTTTCCAAAGGGCCCTGGCTTCTTTTAGTGGGGCATGGTATTTAGAAACCAAGACCTGGGGTCTGCATAAGCTTATTGCTGTTGGGGAGTTGCTGCTTCCAGGCTCTAAGAGAGGATTTCTTTCTTTCTTTCTTTCTTTTTTTTTTTTTGAGGAAGATTAGCCCTGAGCTAACATCCGTGCCCATCTTCCTCTACTTTATATATGGGACGCATACCACAGCATGGCTTGCCAAGCGGTACCACATCCACACCAGGGATCTGAACCGGTGAACCTCGGGCCACCGAAGTAGAATGTGCGCACTTAACTGCTGCACCACCAGGCCAGCCCCTAAGAGAAGGTTTCTTAAAGACAGAAGAAATTAAAGCATTTCTTATGGGAATGATAAAACAGAGAAAATGTGCTAATGCAGGAGAGAGAAGAGGGACTTGTTGGGCTCTAGTGCACAAGTGGCCTTAAGTAGCATCCATAAGTCCAGGAAGGAGGAAGGCATGAGACCGGAAGTTTGGTGTCTGTGGCTGTATCTACTTATAGAAGTATTCTTCTGATTGCTTTTATTTTCTCAAGGAAATAATCAAGGTCATCAGCTAAAAGGAAGGATGGGAGAAAGAGGTGTTGGAGTTTTGAGAAGAGAGGAGATGGTACCGGTAATCATCTAGGAGCTCAAAAGAGTGAATAGACCAGAGCATGTAGTAGTAGGATTACCAAACAGCATGAAGGGCCCACTTGGGGTGAGTAGGAATTAATCTGAAGTGAGACTTATTAACATGAATGTGTTGGGGGGTTTCTCCTGCCTTGTTAGGTACCGAATAGAGAGCAAGTTGGATTAGCCAGGGCTGCCAATTTCCCAAATGAGTGCAACAAAGGCGGGGGGGGGGGGGGGGGGGGGGGGGGCGGCAAGGGAATTGAAGATACATACAAGGGAGTGATTCTATTAATTGGCTGTGACCTTTACCCTAGATAATGAGGGAAGAGAGAACAATGAAGGAGGTAGGATCAATAGATTGTCCTGATGGGATCAAAGGAATTTTAGAGACAGAGTACTAACGGGAAAGAGTTGGAAAGCTGTTGAGAAGAAATGAGGTGATCAGAGGATGGGATGCATGAAATTGAGATTATGGGAGGTGTTATGGGTTGGACTGTGTCCCTCTCCCCACAAAAAATGATGTTGAAGTCCTAACCCCCAGTACCTCAGAATGTGACCTTATTTGGAAATAGGGTCTTTACAGAGGTAATCAAGTTAAGATGAGGTCATTTGGGTGGGCCCTAATCCAATATGACCGGTGTCCTTATAAAAAGGGGAAAACTGGACCTAAGGACAGACATGCACAGAGGGAGAACACCACGTGACAATGAAGGCAGATACTGGGTGATGCATCTACAAGCTAAGGAATACCAATGATCCGGCAAACCACCAGAAGTTAGGGGAGAGGCCTGGAACATATTCTCCTCCACAGCCCTCAGAAGGAACGAGCCCACTGACACCTTGATCTTAGACTTTTAGCCTCTATAACTGTAAGACAATAAACTTCTATTATTTAAGCCACCCAGTCTGTGGTATTTTGTTATGGCAGCCCTGGGACACTAATACAGAGGGGTTGCAATTATTGGTAATGACAAGGACCAGGGAATGATGTTGGGAGTGAGTGACTCAGATAAGGCAGTAGACAAGGACATTGGAGGAGAAGAGATCATGGAACTGAGAGGCCAGGGTATTGAGAGAATTATCTATGTGGATATTGAAATCTCTAAGAATTAGGACAGAATTAGAGAGAGTGACAATCAGGACAATCAGAGGGAGTGATAGTGAGGCAAGAGCCCAAATCTTCAAGAAACGAGAGGAAGTAATCCAGGGATTGGCAGATGAGTGGAAAAGGGAGGCATACTGGGTAGGATAGTCCCTCGACATGAGATTCAAAGCTGAAGGATTTTAGGGAAGAAGAATGGTCTGAAAGCAGCACTGAAGAGCAAGGAGGGCACCCACACACCTTCTGGCCTGGTCACACATGGGCTGAGGGAGAGAAAGCAGCGCCCAGTTAAGAGGGCTGCAGGGAGAGCAGCGTCCTCAGGGAGAGCCAGGAGGGCAGAGGAAACATTCAAAGAGGCTATATCCATAGGGAGTTTGCTGATGAAGGACCTGAGCTCCAGAGGGCCTAGTAGAAGGGTTTCAGGAGACTGGAACAGAGTTGGGGATGTGCAGGGCCATGAGGATCAGAGTGTGGAAGATGAGGGGTCATCACACACTGATAGGAGCAGCTACAAAATATGGTGGCCATGTTTATCAATTTACCCTAGAGGGACTCTTTTCACTGTATCCTTTTGTACCTTTTGAATTTCATGCTATGTGGATGAGGATAGCGGTGAAGATGTAGAATGGTCACTGCAGATAGAGGAGACCAGGCTAAGGACAAAGCAAGGATTTTCAAAGAAGGCTCGAGCCCAGTGGAGGCTGAAGAGCAGGAATGTCCAGTGGCACCAATCGGTAGGAAAGTGGGATTTTTGTGGTTGCTGTTTCTTCTCTTAGCAGGGTGCAGAGGCCTGGTTCTAGGACTAAAGAAGGAAGATCATAGGATTAGTGCAAGGATGGGCTTTGCTGATGAGAGAGTTGAGGTGGCTGGTGAGGTCACCCATCATAGACTCCAGCTTAAGCAATAATAATATTATATAAGAGCAAATACATGTATGGCATTTACAGTGTGCCAAGCACTATTCTAGGTGCTTA